CTGCTGAACAAACCGGTTTGGTGAAAGATAATTACTTATGGAAAGTACTATTACGTAGAGGCATTGGACCTGAAAGTTTCTATTTAAAGGTTGGGAATTGTGGTGAATTTGTGGACAAGGAGCTAGCCGAGCAAGCGTGGGCGCCTATTATAAGTGCACTTTGCAGGGCGTACGACAAAGTTCCCGATAAATCATTGCAACGTCGAGTTGCCGAAGCTTTTCACCGGTTTGTTACTTATTTCAACCTATTCGAGATTAAAGTGTTGTAATTGAGTAAATAATATTAATAGCCTGATGTTTCTTCTTTTTCTTTTTTTTTTTCTTTGCGTTACAGTTGCGCGTCTATTAGTGCACATTATGGAATGAGCAGCGATTTAGATACCCTGGTAGTAAGTTTATGCAAGTTTACCGGTCTTGCGACCGGTGGCGAGCCCGATCAAGTGATTTTACACCTTGGTGGAAGTAGCAAGTGTCAGTTGGCTGCACGGACACTTTTTAAAATTACTCATATTCACGGGGATGCGATTAGAGCTTCATGGAAAAACATCATTGATTGTTTGCAATCGTTATACAAGGCAAGATTATTGCCAAAAAGTCTGACTGAAGGAGAAGATTTTATTAGTCCAACGGGGAAGGTATCGTTACTTAGGCAATCAACTGTACCAAAACCGGCTCCGGTCGATCAGGGAATATTATCCAGTTTATATTCTTACATTGCTTTGGATACGTCACGCATATCTCATCCAATGGAAACAACTGCAAGAAAAAGGGCTACGGAATTTGTTGGGAATTGTTATCTGAAACAAATCATCGTGGAAAGTAAGTTCTTGCAGGTGGAATCGCTTCGGTCTCTCGTTGGTGCTTTGGTATTTACAAACTCTCACGACGAAGATATATCAGTATTTTTGTTGGAACTATTATTGGAGGTAACCGTTCAAAATCGTGACAGAGTAACGTGCATTTGGCCAATAGTGCAAGCTCAATTAGACGGACTGTTAACAACTGCCGCGCGAGAAAATCATCCATATCTTTTGGAACGAGTAGCCGTTGGAATGTTAAGATTAGCAATCAGATTATTACGAGGCGAAGAATGCGCGTGCACTGTTCTACCGCCTTTGTTACCGTTGGCGTATTTACCTTCTGCTACAAGCACGCCACTTGCGAGGCAGATCGCGTACGGTTTGTTCGAGTTACTTAAAACCGGGGCCGCGAATATTCACAGCACAGAAGATTGGAAAGTGGTGTTTAGCTTGCTGGAATGCGCAGGTGCCGGGGCACTTTTACCAAAGCAATCGAACACTGTGCTAGACGAAGCAACCAATTCCAGAACGTCGATGTTGGATGCTAGACCGATTAGTCCAGTACCTGAATGGGTACTCGCGTCTCCAACAGGTACCGAAGCACCGTTGCCCGTTGCCGCTGACACGATCATCTTGGATCGCGATTTACAACCTCACGATCCCGCTGCTCTTGTTAAATGCTGCGAAAGCTTAACATTTTTAATCAGAGATATGGCGCACGTAACGCCATTTAATTTCGAATTGTGTATTCGTTGCGTAAGAACATTTGCAGAGGCAGTTCTTCAATGTTCGGGAAAAAGAAATAAAATGCTCGGTGGAACGGAAGAATCTGTTGCTGCTACCTACCAGCAAAGTCCGATACGATTGTTAGATCTAATGCTTTTACTTCATACTAGAATCGCTCAAGTATTTCGCTGGTGGGCGGAGGAGGGTAACGCCACAGAGAATATTTCTTTATGGCCACAAGTATGGAGACCTTTGTCACAAGGGATTGCAAGATTGTGTTGCGATGCACGTAGACAAGTACGTACGACGGCTATAACGTATCTTCAATCTACTCTGCTCGCTCACGATTTAGCACAATTATCAGCAGTGGAATGGTCTCAATGTTTGGAACAAGTTTTGTTCCCTTTGCTAGCGCAGTTACTCGGACCAATAGCATCGAATGATCCTATTGGTGTAGAGGAAACAAGGGTTAGAGCAGCGATGTTGCTGTCTAAAGTGTTTCTTCATCATCTGAATCCATTGTTAACTCTTCCTGGATTTTTACCACTTTGGCTCACTGTTTTAAGTTTACTTCGTGCTTATATGCATGCAGATAACAGTGAGCTCCTTTTCGAAGCCATACCAGAATCGTTGAAGAATATGTTGCTGGTGATGTCATCCGCTAACGTATTGGCTCCGACATCGAATTTATGGGCTCCGACTTGGAGAACGATCGATGCATTTTTACCTACTTTGAAAGCAGAATTATTCCCAGAACCACCGGTAGTATCGGTGCCATCTTGCTCCCAATCACCGCAAATACAACACATTTTGCAAGTTATCAGTTTAATAGAGCAGCAGCAACCATGTTTTTCGGGATCGATAGCACCACTTCAGCCGAAAGCTGTGCCAGCTGAGAGCAAATCGGTTATAAAGGATAATACCGAGGACGAAAGTTTGCGAACTTGGAAGGAATCGAATTCGCAGTCGTTATCCTTATCCCCTGTGGAGGTAACAAACTTAAGCACAGTGACAATTTCGCAAACATCGACGCCTGATGCAGTGCCAACGTTCGATGATAAAGAATCGCAACAGGTGATTACTTTAGTCGATCAGCAAGTACCGAATGTATCGAGTACGTTTGCCATGTTACCAACTACGCAAGAATCATTCGATATTTGTCATCGTATTATTGGCCGTCCGTCTTTATCGATCACTGAATCGGATGAACATTTGACACAAGAGAAAATCCCACCGTTATCACCAGGGCTATCACTCACATTATCGAAAGTACCTGTCGAGGAGAGTAATTGCGAGTATATGAAAAAATCGATTATTAGTGAAAATGTGGGGTCGGAGCAAGTTACACGAACAAACGAATGCGAAGAGCGGAGACAGCAAGAGCAATGTCAGCAAACCTTACTACATTCGCAATCCGAGCAACATGTACCATACATACAAGAAACGGCACCCGCTGAAACATTAAATTCTTTTCCTCACATAGATACGTCCGAGGTAAATCAATGTCTTGGCCATTCTCATTCTCGGCCAATTAAATTTACTTCTCTCTCTCTCTCTCTCTCTCTCTCTCTCTCCTCCCTCTCTCTCTCCCCCTCTCCCTCTCCCTCTCCCTCTCCCTCCCTCCCCCCCTCTCTCTAAGAGAGAAGTAAGATTTAATGTAATTTAATTTTATTGCTTTTGTACTATATT